TTGTCTAATTGGATTATTCATTTTTAAACACAAAGTTTGAAATGTAATAAAGTGAAAGACTTGCATGGTCTTATATAAAACTCTCAAGTGTAGTGATACGCTTTATGAATTATTGATTGTGAATGAGATAAATTGTATTATTTCCCACATTTTATATAAATCAAAAACTTAAAACCATAATTTGTTAACTAATATTCAGACCTATAACACAACTTGGAAAATGACTTACCTCCACATTTTTCTATAAATCATAAAGCTACACCAAAAATTTGGTAACTAATATCATTCATAATCTATAAATAAGTGCAAATGTAACAGACGGCTAACTTTCATCAGTTGAGTATAGAAAAAAACAAGGGAAACACTTGAAATGCATGCCCACAGAAGAATTGCTAGTGAGTATGGTCCAGAGTCATTTTTATCAAGAGCAGAAGCAGCAAAAAGAAGAGAAAGAGAGAATTATACACTTTCCAAATTAATACTATATCTGGAGACAACAAGAGGTCGTAAATGTAATGATTTGTTACTTTGATTTCACTACCCATAATACGATTTAGAAAGAGAAACACACAACGGAAGCCAACCTCTCAGAATCTATTCTCTCATATAAAAGACTGTTTGGCTCCAAAGGTGATCGAGGTACCAACTGACTATAGAACACGCTCTCTAGTAAAAGCAACTTTATGTCATCAATTCGGTTATTTAATTACTAAGCTTCAGAATATACAATGGAAAGAAATTCTCAATCAAAATCTCTGTTCACACTTGTTACAATCAAATTATTTTACAAAATGACTAACACCAAGATTTAATCATTTAACGGATGCTACACAAATTTATACGATTCTCAAAAAACTGCACGTCTACTATAATGGCAAACAAAAGTACAAACTCCAGCTTTGATTTTAAAGTTTCAAGCGTGGTCCATTTTCCTTAAACAGGTAACCAATTCCTTGTTCCTTTTACTCTTCTCTATTGATCGACAACTCTCGTGCATCCTGCAACATACGCCATTCAACGGTTTCAAATTCTCCTCTAAACAATGATTTCACATAAATGTTAGAAACAGAGAAAATGACAGCAGGATTGACAGATACAAATATCTCGACAACGTCATGACATAAACGTTCTACATCGTTCTAATTATGACTTTAGGCAACATAGCAGGTTAGGTGAAAATTTGGATTTTTACTTTCAGTAGTGAGTGTTCTGAATTTAATTCAACCATCAAGATTGAAGTAACATACGAATGGTTTACTTATAATTTCTTGGAAATGGATATTCCTTTCGACTCCTCTGTTCCTCATAGCTACATGGAAATAAGTGCAAAATGACCTTTATTAAAGCCAAAAACTATAATCTTAATATCTACACCAATTAATATTAGCAAATGATTAGCAAAGAACTATCAAAACAAAGGATATAATAAAACTGTAATCTTCCCTAACATCCATAAAAGCAAAAGTCTATTTAGTTTTTTTTCTCTTTAGTGTTCTTTTTAACACATACATAGTTTTAAAACTAACAAGTCTATTTTCCCTAGTTTTTTTAGAATATGTAAAAATATATTTGCTTCGCTTTAACAGAAACACAAAACAAATGAATCATAAATGTTCACAGTAAATGTTATAACCTCTCAAACTCACCAAAAAACTGGATGTTCATATTAGTCCCCTAATGTTTACTCCTCGCTCTTATTTCCAGCCATTATCTGATCCGATACAACGCCATCAGCTCCAACATGTTCGTTGCTAGATTTAACTTGGTCATCGTCCACTGACTTTTGAGACAGTTGCGGCTCAAGATTGTCTGATGTATCATCTGGTGCTGGTGAATCTGCTTCAGTTGAAGAAACTTTTATATCAATTCCAGTATTTTCAGGTTTCGAACTCTTACTTTCAGCTGATTCTTCGTTCATTTCAACATGATGATCGTCGGATGAGGTTTTGTCATTCTGGCTTGTAAGAGCTTCTTCTATGAGACATGGCTCTACTGTTTCCTCTTCGATGACCCCTTTGCCTTTGTCAACAGAATTTGCTCCTGTGGTGTCAGCGGAACGATCAGATGCAAGATGTTGATCATCAGCTTCTTCTGCAAGTAGTGAATTATTTGTTTCATTGGATTCATCTTCCTGAATAGAAGAGGTCCCAGGAAAGCTTGGTTCTTCTTCAGCTAAACTTTCTGTCTTTGACTCTGACCCTTCAAGATTTGTGGAAGCAGGAAAAGACTGGAAAGTGTCCCA